ACACACACACACACACACACACACACACACACACAACGGGGGGGAGAGGTGACAGGCTGACTGAGTTATTGTGCCATTATTTGATATTTATATTGTTTGCTTAATTTGTTGATAGTATTTGGACAAATTAAGCACAGTATTAATTTCAGTGAGGCTTTATCCTCAGGATTGTTAGATCTGTTTTAACAACGCGGTTTGGACATAGTGTCATTCAGGCCCCGAGCAGACCCAGTAATTCACCCTGAAGCTAAACCGTTCCCTTAAAAGGAGAGAGGAAATTATCTGGCATAGCGTGTAGACAGCTGCTGATGCATTGTGCATCCTTTTGAACACGAGCGAGGACGTGGTGTGGTGAGGTTGGTGATGCTGGCCAGATGTCAAGTGAGCTGACCATAGGCTGCTTTGCATGGTCATAGTGAATGACTAGTGGATGGGGGTCTTTGGTTGCTAAGGAACAAGGAAAAAACCTGTACGGAACGCCTGATTTAAAATTGTCACTTTAGTCTTCTGTTTGTTTATAATGAGGTACATCGGTTGTGTTGGATTCTGTGTCAAAGCTCACATTCATATGTGATTTATAATGAATATATTACCTGTATCGTAATTGCAAAGCGTTTCCCTAAATTGTTACATTTATTACATTTAGCAAAGGCTTTTGTCCAAAGCAACGTGCAAACATACAGCTGTCAAGGTGTTAACCAGGCACTGGAGCACGAGCTCGACAGCGTCTTCTCAACAAAGCAAGAGCCTAATAGAACATCTGTTCCAATCAGCAGAAGGTGCAGCATTAAGAGCATTCAGGGAACCTGCAGTGGTGTAGGCTAGTGGAGTTGTTCCTGGAAGAGATGGGTCCCCTTTTGTTTTTTGGCTACAAAGCCATCTGGCAGCCTAACCTCCTACCTGCCCAGACACATCAGCCTTCCGTAAGCACTTCAAAAAAAAATGTTTGTGTGTGAGCTTCAGTTCTGAAGACTCAAATGCCCACAGTGCCCATGCATTGAGAAAGGGAAGGAAGTGTGGGGTTACGGCTGATCGAATTAGCACTTTATGGACCCTACAGTCATGCGAGAAAGAAAGTACACCCACTTTCAGGTCTGTGGGTTTTCATATCAGGACATTTCAAGTCATCTAGTCCTTACCAGGTTCTAAAATGATTTAAATCTAACCTCAGGTGTAAAACAGCACACGACAGATTCCACCGTGTCATTCTTCAACAAAAATTAAGCCAAAATGGAGAAGCTATGTGTGGAAAACAAAGTAGACCACATGATTTCAAAAGCTTTTAAAATCACCTTTAGCTGCAATAAAGTGAAGCAATTGTTTTCTGTATGACTTTATCAGTCTCTCACATCATTGTGGAGGAATTGTGGCCCACTCTTCTGTACATCGTTGCTTCAGTTCATGGAGGTTTGCAGGCATTTGTTTATGCCCAACTGTTTAAAGGTTCTGCCGCAGCATTTCATCGGGTTGAGGTCTGGACTTTGACTGGGCCATTGCAACACCTTGATTATTTTCATTTTCAGCCATTCTGTTGTAGATTTGCTGGTGTGCTTGGTTTCGTTGTCTGGTTGCATGACCCGATATCAGCCAAGCTTTAGCTGTTGGACAGATGGCCTCACATTTGACTCTACAATACCATGGCCTACAGTTTTATATATAGTTCATGGTCGACTCAATGACTGCAAAGTGCCCACATCCTGTGGCTGCAAAACAAGCCAGAATCATCTCCCCTCACCGCCGTGCTTGACAATTGGTATATGAGGTGTTTGTGCTGATATGCTGTTTAGTTTTCACCAAACAAGCCACTGTGTATATAGGCCAAACATCTCCACTTTGGTCTCATCTTTCCAAAGGTCGCTGTCCCAGAAGTCTTGTGGTTTGTTGAGATGCAACTTTCCAAACCTGAGCCAGGCTGCCATGTTCTTTTTAGTTATTTTTCGAGGCTTTTAGATGCTTTCTCCAAGCAACCACACCAAACAGGCCATAACTGTTCAGTCTTTTTCCAACTGTACTGTCATGCACTTTAACATTTAATATGCCAAGCGAGGCCTGTAGAGTGCGAGATGTAGCTTTTGGGTCTTTTGCAGTTTCTCTGAGCGTTGCACGGTCTGACCTTGGGGTGAATTTGCTGGGACGTCCATTTCTGGGAAGATTGGCAATGGTCTTGAATATTTTCCACTTGTTAATAATCTTTTTCTCGCTGTGGAATGATGAACTTCAAATTGTTTGGAAATGGCCTTATAACCCTTCTCAGAATGATAGGCAGCAACAATTGCTTCTCTAAGGTCACTGTTGATGTTTTTCCTCCTTGGCATGATGGTGATACAGACCTGGATGCTCCAGACCTGCTTTTATAGAGGTGGTCACGCTCGCCGATGATGAATCAATCAAGTGTGTTTGATTAGCAGATTTTCACACATTTGCTTCTTCGTTTTGGCTTTATTTTTGTTAATGACGCTGTGATATGTCGTGTTATTTATTTGTCTGAGGTTGTACGGTGATTTTATTTTAGTAATAGATACTTTATTAATCCCCGTGGGGAAATTGTCTTTACGCCTCCCTCAACTTGCTCTTTGTGGAGTAAGTTGTCTGCAAAGGGCAGCCACCTGTTGGGGCGCCCAGGGAGCTGGGGGTTAAGAGCCTTACTCAAGGACCCGCAGACGTGCTGAGGCTGGGTTTGAACCAGTGACCTTCCGATTACAGGCACACAGGCTTAGCCCACTGAGCCACATGCTGATATGGCCTGATATGTAAATCCTTAGAAGTGAAAGGGAGTGCGCTTTATTTTTCACAACGACAGTATATAGGCAGCACGGCCAGGAGCGTAGTCTGCATTTAACTGCTGAGAATTGAGAGGACCTTTACGTTGATATAGAAGAAAGAGAAATAATCTGATCCGAACTCTGACAGGAGCCCTGTGGAGAGACACCAGCAAGGTGTCATGCAGTCATATTGTCTGGCTCTGGCTGTAGCTCCTTCTGCAGGATTGTAAGAAGAGTCTGTGATGTATCCGTCCTGGAATTGCGAGAGTCTAATAATATAATTGTATATTAATTTTCTTTTTGTTTCAAAGTTAAACATGGACTTAATCTTCTATTGTTCTTGAATTCATAAGCTAGAGGCCATGCTTGTTAAGAGACAGGTCTGTTTGAAAAATGATCTATTTTGAAAGATCTATGCTGATCTAATGTGTAAAACCTAAGGTTAAAAACCAGAGAATTCATTTTATGAGACTTGCTTAGACTTGTATAATGTGTGTGTTGCCATCAAGGATAAGCAGTTGGAAAATGGGTGGATGATGTTATTTATCACACTAAAGCCGGTGTGTCTCAACCCAGTCCTTGGTGACCCCCAGATAGTCCACATTTTTGCTCCTTCCCAGCTCCCAATTCTCCTGTATCAGGTATTCAGTGTATTGGCTGGGAACTGGGAGGAAGCAAAAATATGGACTGGGGTCTGGGGCCCCCTGAGGACTGGGGGAGAAACCCTGCACTAAGCTTTTCTAAATGCCTGAAAAACCTTGGAAATATCTTGAGGGAGTTACTCAGCAAATGACTATATAGAGTGTTTGCAGAGGCACTTCAGAAAATCGAAACTAGCCGTCAAACCTCTTTATGTTGCCTAAGGAAACACTTTTCTCTCTGTCAGCCCTGATCAGAGAGGTTGTTACATTTATGACCCTCACAAGAGGAAGTTGTGCAAGCTTCAAAAATTTAAGCTGGACATTTAGAACTTGCATCTTCTGCTTTAAGTCTGAGCTTTTCAGTCTGGCCACTCTCTCACCCTAATGTCTTGATACGCCTTTGTAATTAATATCCATAACTAAGCTTTTCTATCCATAGTTTTCTAATTAATCTAATGTGTCACATATTGGGTAGAGTTATCTGTGTATTTTGATCTAAGCCAACTGGATATTCAGTTGCTCCTTTATGATTCACCTCTCTGACTACAAATAGTGTGAAATGTTTAAGCTGATTATTCCTGTTTTTTCCTCCTTCCAGATGAGCCTGCTACAGAGGTACCACAAGAAGAACTAACAGGTGAACAACAACGCTTGTTAGTTTTGCTGCTTTAACGGAATTATGATGCTCTGTAAGAAAATGTCCTTGGTGCTTTTGGCAGAAATGAAGGGCCTGACTGCAATGCTGGTAAAATTTTAATGTGGATTAATTCATGTCTGTCTCCAGAGGTGGAAGCCAGTCCATTGGAAGACCAGCCTCAGACTGAGTCCTCAGGTAAGCATGGGGAGGGGAACCTTCTCCATCTCCAGGCAAAGCCCTGCTGGCTTCATGCTGTCCTTGAATGGGCCGTTTGCCGTCCTTATGTGACGTACCTGCATAGCCGGCTGCTTTTCCCTGCTTTTCCTGTGACAGGCATATTCTGCTTTGTGGCAGACAGATTTGCGGAGCTTAAAATCACTTTGAACAAGATTATTTTGCCATTGCAGTAGATATTCTAGCTTTTCCATCGTATACCCTCCACAAAGAAGGTGTGGGTGGTGTGCAGGTCTCCAAGCCGGGGTACTGCGCTTGTGATCAGAAGGTTGCCGCTTTCAATCTCAGCATCAGTAGGGTGGTCCCGCAGTTGGACCCTTGAGTAAGGTTCTTAGCCCCCATTTGCCCCGGGGAGTGACTGACTCTGCTTATCAGTCATACATTGCTTTAGATAAAAGTGTCTGCAAAATGAATGTAAACATAAAGCTTCCGTGTTCAGCTAATGACATACTGTAGTAAGTAAGTGGTTTTACTTTTGTCCACAGACGAGCCAGTCCTTACGGAGGATCCACATCAAGAAGGGCCCACAGGTAATTATCAATCTCCCAACCCTGTCCTCCTGGCTGCTACACACCTTCTTCTGTGGGCTTCCGGTTTCTGGGGTGATCCTGTGTCCTGCAGTGGAGATGCTGGTCTCGTAACCATTTTCTTTACACTAACAAGTCTGCAGCGTAACAGATTAGGTTGTGTGGTCAACACATGAAAGTGCATCGTTCTGTAGCTTCATTCAGTGAGTGATTAGCCAATGAGGACTGAGGTCAGACCCATGTGACGAGTGATTCTTCCACTGGGCTATGGTGGTCTGGAGCCGAATGCAGAAGGGGACCCTGGGTTTCCGTCGGGGGTCCTGGCTTAAGTTCCTTTACATGGTTAGTCTGCGCTATATTTGGTGTTGTGGAAGGCTTTTTAGGAAGGTCACATAGATATACTGATGCTCCTCGATTTTTGATGAGGTTATTTTCAGTGAACCCATCGTAAGATTAAAATATCGTAAGTCGAATATGAGCGTGATATGATAAAATAAGTAAACGAACATGCGAAGGCCGTTGCAGACTTGCCACCTTCATGCTGGGCAATTATCTTAATTTTCATCTCCAAAGTAATCTTCTACCCTCTTTTTCTTCTCACCCGGAGTTGAGACAATTGGCCGTTCACTAACATGATAGGATTAGGAAAATTTGGTTAAATGCAGGGAAAAACAAAAATCATACGTTACGCTGTTAAACATTGTTTGAGATGTTTGCGCTCAGGGTCACTGCTGGACGCGTGATTGAGTAGATGCCGCCAACGCCCGACAGTTGAAAGTATCGTACGGTATCTCGTTAGGCAAGGGACAGATAAAAATTCCAAGTTTGTTGACTGCTGAATGTGCATCGCTGTCGCACCATTGTAACGCTCGAAATATCCTCAGTCAAACAATTGTGAAGAGAGAAGCATCTGTATAAGTGTAATGTTACACTGGAAGAACAGGGGCTTCTGGACCAGGGGCCCCTGCTGTCCTGTTACCAGCCGGCTAGGGTGCATGCTGCCCCCTGGTGGGTCCTTTGCAGGTGGGGCAGGCAGTCGCTGAAATAGCGGAGCAGCAGAGGCATGATTTGCGTTATGGGGTTTTAGACACAGAGTCGTTTTAGACCTCCATTTCAGTCTAGGCTCTCATACAAAAGACCGTTTGGAAGGTATGTCACCATAAAGGTGGCCAGTGTCTGCCTGCACATAGAGGCATTGTGACAAGAATCACGGTTTTGTCAATGTCATACACAATTATGCTGAGGACAGTGTACAGTGAAATGCATGGTTGCATTTCTCCAGACTATGGAAACTATAACGGAGATTGTGAGCCAGGTCTTCACATCCAACATCAGTGCCAACTCCATATTGATACCTATGGATTTAGTAGAAGCAGGAAGTGGAGGTAATGCAAGAGTCCAGGCCGCAGTAATGATAACGATAGGCCGATTCTGGGGAGGCTTTTATCAGTTCTACACATGCAGTCATTGTCATTTTTGCTTTTAGTTCTGAGTCTCTCTTCATCTTTCTTATTTTGGGTTGCAGCAATATTTAGCTTATTTCATTTGAACTTGTATGCGTTTTTGGTATAAAAATGACCAGTAGTTTAAATGATGAGGTATTTATAGAACACATTTTTATGATAATTTTGAACTGAAATGTGTGTCATGCGATGTTACAAAGCCTGATACATGATCGTTCCCCCTTGTGGTGCTCAGTTAAAGTAGCGCTTCAGACTATATATGGCTGTTAATTGTATTGTATCACTTTTTGGAAAAGCATATAACCACAAAAAGCAGAAATTACTGGTGGAATTTGACAATATATTTGAACTTAAGCTGTTGCTGTAAATAGTTTTTATCATCATTATTAATACTCATAGTAGTTGGCGTGATGTCCCTTTAGCTGGAGTAGCTATGCATTTTTAATAACGTGAAAGTCCTGCGTTGCATCCCCAATCATTTAGAAGTACTTTAAGGGAGTCCTGGCCACTTGTATTTACAATTGAAACATTTACAAAAGGTCCAGATTTGCGTTTGTGAGCTTAGATATGATTCAGTGCTGTTGATGCCTGTATCTGGCCCCGGGGTTGTGCACATCGACAAAATGACCTCTTCACACTGTGCCGTGGAATCTACCCCAGAGCTGTCGTTTTGACAGGAATAATCTGCAAAGCGAGAGGATCAGAATGCCTGCCCGGCAGCCCCTGAACTTCTGGCCCGGCTCTTCATGGACCTCACTGAGCATATCTGTCACCTTTTGTTATTTGGAGTCCGTGGGCTTATGGGATTGCGGGTAACGCTGCCTGCACCAATCCTGTCCTGCTCTGTGGGTTCACCAGCTTCACTCTGCGCTTCAGCGATTCCCTTTTGGCCTCCGCTGGATTTCTGTTCTCTGAAAAGCTCACGCGATGACAGCCTCCATCGCCTGGTAAACCTCTGTACATAGCAGTCTGTCTCCTGGACACTGGAACCTGTATCCCTCTACTTTCAGGTTTTTACTCAGCAGTAGTAGGGGTGTAACGATACCATTTTCCCACAGCTTGGTATGTATTGTGGTTTCGGGGCCTTGGTAACAGTATGGTTTCTGTATCCTCATATCAAATAAATAAATAAAATAAATAAATAAAATGGTTCGATATTATGCTGATCCGCAATACATACAGAACTGTGGGCAAATGGTATTGTTATACCCCTAAAGGGTGGCTTGGGAGTTTGTTGTATTGCAATTCAGAGGTTAATACTGCTTATTTTCTCATGTACAACAAATAAAACAGTAGGTGTTCTTATGGCTGTCGGTGACCCAGTTGGTCATAAGACTGTGTCTCCTGAAACGGTTCACAAACTGCTGCCAGTTTTGAGGATTTTATTTTGGTATTTTTAGCATTTGTTAGTTTTGTGTTTGCAGTGGTGTAGTATTTAAAAAGATTAAACACCTGGTTTAAACCACAGAATCATTGTATAGACTTTTGTATAGATTTGTAGTATATTGAATGTCTTGCTATGGCCGATGATCTCCATTGTAAATGAGTCTCTTTGGTTCAGATAGAGCCCTATTATTCAAATCACGGTCCTCGAGGTCTGAGCACTGCTGGTTTTCCAGCCTTCCTTTACCTGTGAGCCAGGTGTGAAGCCTCTGACCAATCAGAATCAGTAATTATTAAACTAACTACCTGGGAGAACTGAAAACAAGGCCTGGATTTGAAATCGAGGTCCAGATTTGAAGGGCACTGGTGTAGAGGAATGATTGTCGATAAAGGCCTGCCCCGCTTGTCGTCATGGTAACCGACCATTCTGACTGCCCAAGCATTCTGCCCCTTTCTCGTTGGTGTTCCATGTGGCATTTGCATGTCATGAGGGTCTGTGGGTCATTTTGATTTCAGCTCCTAAGCCAATCCAATCCAGCCGGGCCCTCTAATTTAGCGTCTCCCCCCTTGTTTTCCAGATACGTAAGGCTTGAAATGCAGAGAATTGCGACACCACGAGGACCAGCCCAAAATTACATTCCGCTGAATGGGAGCAACTTGAATTTTCCCACCAATGAGATAAAGCTAATCAATGATGACAGTAATTGTGGTCGGATGGTGTAACGCTTCAGAGGCAGACATGAAATTTTCACTATTTGTACTTTTATAACATCTCCATACCTTTTAATGCTCTCTCACCAACATCGTTTTGTTTTTGTTTTTTGTTTTTAAACCCCACTCCCATTTCCATCTCCTTTTTGTTTTATATTTGTTGGTTACATTGCTCATGCCTAATTGGTTACATTTTTAGACGGACCCTGGAGTACATTTGGCCCTCTGATATTTAGTATAATTGTGCACAGTTGGTGATGAAGCGTAGCTTCTAACTCGAGTGACCTTCCCCTTAAGTTCGTGGCATTTTCAGCATTCCAACGCAAAGCTGCCAAGCACAGCTGAGATGTGCAAAGGTTGTGCGTCGTAATGTAAACGCGTGTCAGCACCATAACTAAAGGAATGTTTAGGGGGTGCCTTGCTGATGTGCCAGACGTTAGCACACTGGGGTATTGCTAGCTTTGCACAATGAGCCGCAGCTAAATACTAATTTTTTTTTCCCCTTCTCTGTTGCAGTTAGTATCTTGCAGTTTTATTGGTTGTACAACAGCCAGTTGTAGAGTTCGGGAGTCGCCAGGTTGACTGTGGTGATGCCTGGCTTTGGTTTACAAAGCAATACACTAACTGCTAAAACTGACGTACAAGTCCATGTTCCTACACTGTCAGAAAAAAGGGTACAGCCCTGGCACAGTTTGTACCCCAGGGTACAAATAATATTAATGTACCCCCAGTGGTACAAAAATATCCCTCAGAGTCCGTTTCTCAACCTTAAAAGGTGCATTTACCTATAGCTAAGGTACTGTACGTTTGGCAGACCCTTGTGGGTACAGCCCCAGTGACAAGTAATTGTACTCTCAAAGGTACAAATTGGTACTTCTTGTCCTGACAGTGTAGTTTTATGGGAGGTGTGCTTTAATCGTCTCATTTTGAATGACTTGGGTCGATAGTGACAGAGGAAACAACCTTTAAGAAACGATGACAAAGATAAACCGGAGATGCTTAGGTTTGCCTTGTCCACACTAATGGTATTCTAAGAGTTTGCACTCGGTGGTTGTTTTGAGAGTGTGCCACTGTTGTTGTGTAAGATGATGAGGGTGAATAGTTTACTGCTTTTATGACCGTAAGATACTCAAAATATTGTGGATCTTGGTAATCAACAAATCGTCACACTACTCTACGAGTATGGTGTTCTCCCCCCGCCTGTTACGCCAACGTGTGTTCAGCATACCTCAGTGTCACCAGCATGTTACATGAGTGCAGGGAATCAGCCTGTACTGCCCCCTGTGCCTTTGGAGGACTCTCTGCTACTGTGCCTTTATTAACCAAGATAAACATTAAAATAAAAAATAAACACTTTGGATTTTCTTTTGGGGGAAAAGATTTTTTTTTTCCTTTCTTCTACTCTCGGGACACTTTCAGTGGTATTAGATAATTTTTCTTGAAGCTGGTAGTCATTTAACATTAAAGATGACTAAAATTTAACTGTTTAGGGAACTGATTTACGTTAGGACAGGTGTGACTAACCATGTGTTTTTGAAAGCCATAAATGAAAGCTGGGATTTGTTTTGCTTTGAACCGGATGTTGTATCGTTAGCAATAACTTAGACAATCTAAAGGGTGTCTGTCCGATGACACTTTTATCTTGAAGAGATGTTTACCTGGTGAGCAGGCTGGGTTTTTTTTTTAAATTGTATTTCTGTATAGGTCAGAAGGTTTAAATTATTGTGCAATTGCAATGGGGATTTTTATGATTGTCATGGTTCTCTGTAAGTCTGTTTTGAGGCTGAAAATAAAGGTTTGGGACAAAACGTTGTGTCTCTTTTCTTGTACTAATCCAGATATTGTTTTTTTTTTAAGTTTGCAAGATTCAGACATTGTTCAAGAACCGGTAGCCAGTAATCCGTCTGCTTTGCCGTGTTCAGTAATAATCTGTATTCAGCTTCAGAAAACGCCAGTCGGTGGTGTTGCTGAATGACTTCTGAGGCTGTAAACTGAGCTGATACCTGTTGGTACCTTTAACTTTATAAAATAACATTTCTGCAAGGTCTGTGAAGCTCAGTGTGTTATTTCGGTGGACTTCCGTCCATAGTTGCCTGTAGGTGTATCTGGTTTCCCATTCAAATGGCGTTTGCCGTGGAGAGAGGCTCCGGACCACCAAGCTTGACCATGAACAGCTACAGTGTCTCTACTTTGGGTGAACATGAGATCTCATTGACAACTGACACGGCTTATCTCATTCCAGAAACCGCCCAGTCCCAATCCTTAGGGATGTCTTAGCATGTATTTTAATTTTATTTTAAATTCAGGTGAATTTACAGGCTTAAGTTGATGAGTTAACTATAGAATGAATAGGGACAGAGGCATTATCACAGGTGGTGGGTTTAGACCAACAGCTCTCTTGTAAAAATGAGCTGTAACACTGCAGTGATAACAGGATTTTCTGCTACTTTCAGTTCACTGGAAGGCATGCTTAGCAAGCACAATTTACTGCTGATGTTACATTATTAGTGCCTTAGCAGTTACCGTCGCAGCACCCCAGGGCATGATGTCATTGGCTGAATCAGGGCTATTCTGGCGGCTGTGTGTTACGTCATGGTATTCTTGTGTTTTACAGAGACTGCTGAGGCCCAGCAGGAAGAGAAACCCAAATTCCAAGGTAGGAGCTTGGAATGCTGGAATAAAGAGAGAACAGAAATATTGCGTGCATTTCCTTTTCAAACCTCAAGGGGGCAGCACGGGCTTGTTTTTCTTGTTCTTTTAACTTAAACGAAGGTTTCTGCCTCTCTTGGTCGCACTTCACATTTTCTTACATAATTTGCCGACAGTGCACTTAAAATTGAATCTATTATAAGTGTTTCATTTTATATAAGAAAGGTCAAGGTTGTCTTCCACAGATTTTAGCTGTTGCATAAAGTGAAGTTTAGGTTGGGATGGTGACTCACTGGGTAGCTCTTCCCTTGCCTCTAAGGTGTGTGTAGCAAGTGGAGTTTGCATGTACTCTTTTTACTCCTCGTTTGCCCATCTCCACCCACAATACAAAGACATACTCTTCTGGTTCATTGGTGGCGATGACTTGCTGTTTATGCCATGCATGCACACACACGGCATGTCTAAGACTGTATGCTGGGCATGTTATACCTTAGAACATAGAACTGTGTACTTGGAGTAATTTAGTGGTACAACAAATGGTTCAGGATGGAGGATTTTTATTTTGAGACTTATTTTTAGTGGCATTTATTCGTGTTGGGGATGCCAACTGAGCATTAAGGCTCTTCCTCGAGGGCCCAACCACAGTCACTCCAATGACCATGGGATTTGAAACGACGTCCTTCAGATCATAGGCATGGGGTCTTAACCCGCTTGGTCAACATACAGTCCCCTTCAGCACAGAAGATTAGGTTCAGTAGAATTGTTCTTCTTTTATGCAGTCTTTAGAAACAAGAACCCAGATACCATTACAGTTTCCCTGAGTATATGGGTCTTGAATCCTATATATGTTGATTTTAAACAAGTCTGTCTGTCATTACATCCATCAAGTACTTAATTAGGATAATACACAACACAGTCTTCTGGCTGCATGTTCTCAGTTGTATGCTTGTTTGTATGGATTTTTCCTCAGTGTGCCCCACAGCCACATACGTGTTCAGTCGCGACAAGACACGTGTTGTTTTTGTGAATAACGCCCAGGTTCCCCCAGGGCACCTATCAGCTGGTTCTGTACATTCAGAGTTCTGTTCTTCCTAAGCGCATACACGCTCAGATGAGGTTATGATCTCCCTCAAGCCATTCAGGGCTCTCATTCGCAGCTGGAACCTCTGCATTCCTCTTGGCCCTCAGCCGCGACCAGGAGGCATTTGTGCAGTGTGATCCATTCAGTTTACGGCCTTTCTCTGGGAAGCCGCCCCTGTGAGTGTTAAAATCTCCCCCCCCCTTCATTTCAGCTAAGAAGAAGAAGCCCAAGCTGCTGAATAAATTCGACAAAACCATCAAAGCAGAGATCGACGCCGCTGAGAGTCTACGGAAAAAGGTTACATATATAGTAGTGTAGGACTTTTATGGTTACAAATGATGCACAATGTTGCCTCCCCATGTTCTGTTTAATAAACAAACGCAAACAAATACAGACAAAACATTTGGGGTTGTGACTTACCTGAGGAATAATCTGGGTCCCGAGGCTAAACCTCTTGAGTGGCTCTGATTACCCGTGTTTCCCTTCAAACTGTAACACTGCCATCCACTGGCAAAGCACCGAAATGGCATTTTACTTTGAGCTGTGACTAAAATCGGGTCTCAGCTCTCTTCTGTGGCTTAACAAAATACCTTAGTTCAGCTATGCTTGGTTTTGAAGAGAACACTTATTACCTACCTGCTACACATGAGTGGGTAGTCAGAAAAAACTTTGAAGCCCATTTCTCAGTTTTACTGTCAGCATAATTACTGTATTTTGCCTTTGTACTGCAGAATATTTATTGCAGTTGGTACAGTTGTTGCTAAAAGTAATGTCCTTCATTCATATCCTGTCCATTATGCAACCATATGGAAATTTTCTTTTTAGGGAAGAGTTGAAGAGGCTGTCCGAGCTTTTGAAGCTCTCGTTCAGAGATATCCTCAGAGTCCCAGATCACGCTACGGAAAAGCCCAGGTATGTCTCCGTTTTTGGCTATATCAGCTGCGTAACCCTACAAACTGCGAATGTAGGAATGATGAGGAAATTCCCCGACAGCTGCACCCTGCTAACATTTTTTTTATGTTTATTTTGGGTACCACTGTATAACACGACTAGCCATATTATAAAGGGTTTATGAGTCATGTATAATCAGGCTATTAATTATGTCATAACACTTTGTAAGTCATAGAGAGTTACAAACAAGTTATATTATCTTTGTATTAATGAGTTAATACCATTTATAAGCGACAAACAGGAGCCTTATTATAAAGTGGCACCTTATTTCGTTTGACACTTTTGTTTAATACACAGTACAAGTGAGGCAGGTTATACATGAACGTCGTGCTATAAAGGAGCCAGCATTGCCGTAAGAGCGGCTGGGCTATGAGGTTAGCTGAGGTCTTCCTTGAAGATATGGGTGTTAAGGCGTTTGTTGGAGGTCGTGAGGGACTCTGCCGGCTAGAAGTAGCTGGGCTCCTCTCTTTACCATCAAGCAGCCATGCATGAAGAACATCTAGTACAAGACTTGTCTTCACAAGGTGCAGGAATCAGCAGGTGGTCTTTGCCTGCTCACTGGGAGGAGCGGGATGCAGCGTTGGTTCCGATGGGCGGCTTTTGTGTGGGTCGGTGCCACTTTAGTAACGGCACTGAAAGCCGACACAAAGGGTCTTATCCATGATATAAGCACCACTTTGGTGCCAATAAAGAGAGATGAGGAGGGGGTGTGACAAGAGCATTTCAGCTGGTTGAACACCAGGCATCCTGCTGCATTTTAAATCCCCGACACATGAGGGCAGCACTGTCGTTAAAGACATACAGTGAGGGCAGCACTGCCGTTAAAGACATACAGTGAGGGCGGCACTGTCGTTAAAGACATACAGTGAGGGCGGCACCGCCGTTAAAGACATACAGTGTGGGCGGCACCGTCGTTAAAGACATACAGTGTGGGCGGCACCGTCGTTAAAGACATACAGTGAGGGCGGCACCGTCGTTAA